ACTACTAATAAAACGTTATTCAAAGACAAAAAAAAAGCAAAATAATTGTCTTAACGCCAGCAACATATCGACATTTCACAAAAAAGCCACGAAAATAGTAAAACTTCATGTAGAAATAACACCTTTGTTTGTTTGTTGTTAAACGCAAAGCTACACAATGGGCTATCTGTGCTGTGAGTATCGAAACCCGGTTTTTAGCGTCTTAAGTCTTTATACTTACCGCTGGGCCACTAAAAGACACACTACACCTTTTGTCCCTTATTCAGGTTGAAATAAATTTAAGGGATAAAAATGGAACTACCAATCAATGAAGTAAGGATTATCCCAAATCTGACGTGAAACGAACAGGGTGAATTGTTCGTGTGTAAGATTTATTCCCAGACTAAATGAAGTATTGAGTAAATGTAAGGATTTAGTCTCACAGGCTAGCAAGTGTTTTCTCGTACATTACCAGATACGAATGTTCCACTGGAGCTTGTGGATAATCAGGACAGATGGAATTATATAAAACACAGTGTGCCTTCTAGATCTACTCACTAGATATAGTGTTGTAGCTCAATGGATTCGATTCTAACTTAATGTACACATTATACAAGATGTGTTCAACTTATTTATTTTCATACAGATAGATGTTTACCCTTTCAGTTCAGTAACAATGTAAGAGGAACGAAAATTAGAAAAGCAGGTGTCAAATAGTCAATGTGAATTACATGGATAGTCGAAACAGACAAGATTGTTAAAAACGACGGTTTGAAAAACAACAAAACTCAGTAAAATGCGAAGAACAGTATACTAAATTCCCGCAAACGCTGCCATGTAAGGAAAAAGATAGGATGAAGCAGGATACCTACATGATACATAAACGTGTGTGGTACATATTATCCAGGGATGGCACTATCGTGGTCAACAAAATTGGGGAACACTTTCGTTTCAAGTTCAAAATGGGTGACCAAGTGAGAATTAATAAGGTCAAACATTCGTTAAAAGTTTGGTTTGTTTTGAATTTCGCGCAAAGATACACGAGAGCTATCTGTGCTAACTGCCCCTAATTTAGTAGTGATAGAGTAGAGGGAAGGCAGTTAATCAACACCAATCACCGCCAACTCTTGGGGTACTCTTTTACTAACGACGAATAGTGGGATTGATTGCACATTATAATGTCCTCACGGCTGAAAGGACGAGAATGTTTGGTGAAGTAGATTTGAACTCGCAGCCCTCAGAATTTGAGTCGAACGCCTTAAGTGCCAGGCCATGTCAGACCCTCGTTTAAAAGAGGATACATAATTAGTATTCCAAATTTTCCGATGTATTGAACACAATCCTCTAGTGTACAAATTGCTGTTAGATGAGACAATTTATGAATTTGAATTATGTTATCAAGCCACCGAAGGAATTCTATGTCATAGAACCTATATTAAAAGTATGAAACACTGTGAAAAACATTGAATACTTGGTAAAATGGAAATGTCATTCGAGAGTTTCAGTAAATAATCGTAGCAAATACATAAAGCACACATACACTTGTAACTTTTTGTTGTCATAGGCCAGTTCTATTTAATACTATGAAGTAACAGTTCGGTGAACTAATTATCAAATGAAGTGCTAACGAATTTTGTCATATAACTTCTTTATCATATTGAGTTACATGTAACTTTAGTCGAACACCAATATCCATGTAACTGGTAAAACATCACAAGGAATAGGGGTGGGTGGATAAGTATTATGACATCAGATCCAGCACCATATAAAGAACATTTAATAGTGGTCACTATTATGACATTCGATAACTGTAAAAAGCCTGCACAAACATAAAAAAACGATCCTTAAGAAACAAAAACATCAAATAGATACATGTAAAATATGGCAAATGCAAAAGTAAATAGAATTGTGACAGATAGGGTCGGTGTGTATCTAAGCCCAGTGTTGTATGATATGTGGGATTATGGTAATTTGTACACCCTAACAAAACCAACCTAAGTATCATACGTTATTACTATGGAAACAGGTGTTCATTCTCTCTATATGCATGGTAATATTGTGGAACCCAGCTTAGAGGGAAATGTTAGTGTACTTTTATTACAAATTTACAAGTTAAATCATTTAACAGTTCACATTACAAATTCACAAGAGAATTGTGGAAATCGATAAAACAGATGACCTGGATCAACATAATACCATTTAAACGTGGATGACTGATAGCAACACTTTATTTTCATAAACACTAAGAGAAGTCTGTATAATGTTTACGTATAAAGTATACTGAATTTATATTGTGTAGTTTGTCCACAGCGCTAAAGCTTCCAGATGATTTTAGAATATGGTGTAAGGAAGGCTGAAAATTTGGTTTATTTTGCATTTCGTGCTAAGCTACACGAAAGCTATCTGTGCTAACCGTTCTTAAGTTAGCAGAGAAAGTATGGAGGGCAGCTAGTCAACATCACCCACCGCCAGCTCTTGGGCCAACCTTTACTAATGAATAGTGGGATTCACTGTCACATTATAACGCCCTTATAGGTGAAATGGTGAGCATGTTCAGTAATAAAAATTCTAATCCGCGACCCTCAGATTGCGAGTCGAGCTCCTTAAATACCAGACCATGGCTGAAAATTAATAATAACCAATAGGTAGTAGTGATAAATAAAATTTTACCTGTACGAGACAAATTATATTTTAATAGACTATAAATTCTGTATTTTCTGAATGTTTGCACACAATACACAAAGGACTATTTGCCCCATATCTGTCCCTAATTTTGAAATGATTGGGTATGGAAAAAAAAATCTAGTCAACTACATTCACCACCAACTGTTATGCTACTCTTGTCTGATCGAATAGTGAGATTTGACCGTAATGCTTTAAGTGTACAACAGAGTTATCAAAGTGTCAAACTCGTTTATGTGGCAAAATGATGTGAAACAATAAATCCATGCCATGCCCCTCCTAATAAGCGATTTACCACTTCGTAAACACTTGATAACAAGTAAAAGTGACTTGTCATTTGCGTTTGACGTATATCATTGTGCGTACTAACGGTTTAATATTCTTAAAAGCTGGTGCAAATACTTCGCTATTTATGTTTACCTAGCTCTTAAAAATAGAAGGAAGTCATTCTCTGCTTGTCAACTAATTGTCCGAAAGGTCAAGTACCACGAATATGTCTACATGTCTGATTTCTAGAAGTGAATTAGAAATTTACATTGCTACATTTTTAAACTGCTTTAATTTCCTGTAACATTACCCAAAGTGAAGGTTAATCCTACTATTCGTTGGTAAAAGAGTAGCCCAAATGTTGGCGGTGGGTAGCGATGACTAGCCGCCTTCCCTCTAGTCTTACACTGCTAAATTAGGGACGGCTAACGCAGATAGCTCTCGTGTAGCTTTGTGCGAAATTACAAACAAACAAATCTTCTTTCATCAATGAGGATATTTTGAAAATATTTCTTTTTAACTTCAAAATAAAAAGCCAAACTTATTACAGGTGACCATGAAACCAACTATTAAAACTAGTATTTATCTGCCTTATAACCTCCTTTCAAAATTATTAATTGCAGACACACCTGTATCTGTGTGTTCACAGCATCTTTCTCTGTTTTAGAAAATCAATAACGTCACTTACGGTTCTTTGAATCACTGGTTTATACGAAAATTTCACGCAAAAACTATACTAAAAATCTATGGTGATAAGAGAAATTAGAATTCAGGTTTATCTCTTGAAATCGAAAAAAATAGTTTTTGAGATGTTATAAGTTTGTTTGTAATTATCTTTTGTTTTAACCACATGCCGTTTTAATATATTACATTAATCAACTTGAAAGTACCAGGTAATTTAACACGTTTATTTAAACCGGACCATTCTGTGTTAAATCTGTTAAGGAGGAACCTCCCATGAAACGAAAGAAGTAGTTAATTTTTCGAAACTTTTGGTAGGCCAGACTGGAGCATTCCTGTTTGATTTTGTTGTTTTCACCGGGGAAAATTGTCTGTAAACGAGAGCTACCCGTCATCATGTGCTTCGAATCCGAATGATGTAGTGGGCTTAGCATTGAAGCCAGTAGCATGCGTAGACCTATTTACTTCATCACGTATGGCAGCGCAGAATTTGCTTCGCTATAGCCAATCATAGAACATATCTATCTGAGTTGATCAATAGTATACTTTTGTAAGAACAAAGATCTGATGCTTCTTAGTGCACTGTCTTCGCTCAGTGTTTGTTCTGATTATCTAAATAACTAACCGTATATATGCGTTAATAAAAGCTTTGTTGTAAAATAACAATATCACTAAGGTTTAACATTCTCGATGCGTTAATATGTACACGTATTTAATGAAATGTATGTTGTATAATATTCGACTACTTGCTTTTCAGCATTTTGGATTTAAAAAAATGTAATAAGGTTTCTTAACATTTGAGTGCCATAAAAATGATATATTATTTATTACATAACTAAAGCATACGTACGAAAAGATGCAGTTTTTTGACAATCTACTCGGTATTTCTATGGATATTTACGCTGTCTTGGGGTGTTTATGCGTTCATTTCACTTCAAACACGCTCTTTTGAAGTTAAGGAATTCATACGTCTACTCAACTCTGTAACTTTCATACCCTTCTTGTTGAGTTCCATCTTTTCTGCTATAGTTTCATGGTATAAAGGACCTCACTGCATTTTAATTGTGAAAAGGTTGATTGCTCTGGAAGACGAAATTCGTTTTTTTCCAAAGCAAAAATTAAAAATAAAATATCTTTCAAACATAGTAATGTGGTTATATCTCGTAATTTTCCCTTCTTACGTATTGCTTATGGTATTATTAAGCATGTATTTCAACCCTTTACTTAGTTTCTATTACTGGATAATTCCTCTGGTTATTGCAGCTTTCATCTTTAATTTATTTCTGGTAGGCTGGGGACAATTCTATGTCATCTATATTGTTTATTTTGCTTGTTTGTTTAGCAATTTATTTGATTCTTTGAACGAACGAGTCCGAGAAATAACAAAGATTATGGATACTTCAGTTTCTTCGGAATTTGAAAACTTGAGAAGACTTCATGTTAGGTTGTGTGAGCTTGTGAAAGATACAGATGAGCTTTTGTCTCCTGGCATACTTATTATGTTTTTCAATGGAATTTTGTTTTGTTGTGTTTGTGGAACAATGGTGGCATACTCCGTAAATAATGGAATGAGGATTCAACTTGTTGTCTCTTTCATAGTTCTTTTCATTGGAATGTTTATTGCTTGCACTTTTTCAGAAAATATGGGAAATAAGGTAAGAATTAGTAAAAAATATGTTAAATGAAAGAAATCATTATATTTATGATGTTTTAACATTAAACTTGTAAAATAATCTAGTATATATTTTATATGTTTCGTTAAACTGAATAAGATTTCTATATTAGAGTCAAATTTTTACCTATATGAAAAAATAATGTTATTAAAGTTCCCATATGAATATCTATATCATTAAATATATGATAACAATAAATATCAGATAACACCATTGCAATAAAAACATTGAAACAGTATATTTCAGCTGTAATTGTCACCCCCTCAGCTCTGTTTGCCTGTAAATTAAAGTATACAGTTCTACATCAGCAGCTGCCACAGTCGTATCAGTTGGAGACGGAATGTCCGAAGAAAGGTGCTCTCGAGCATTAAAACACATTATTCTTGAATACTAGTGTACCAGTTTTTCAGCACAAACATAAAAATACCAATTCGTTTTGTTAATGTGGGATCCTAAATTCTTATCGAAATCGTGAATAATGTGTGTAATGATGCATGTAGCAAGGAGTGATTAACTTTGGGTGTTCAGAGAAATAAGTACCATACAAAATGGTTTTAGAAGCTGTCTCTTATACTTTCTATTCTTATAACATAAATAAAACAAATCAAACTAAGAGTTAAATTCATTTCTTTGTACTTGGTGTGTGTAACACTGTTGCTAAGTTTATGATTAAGCCTAGCGATCAAAAGCTGTAAAGTAATACTTCCAAAAACTATTAAACCAATACTATGTAGCCGTAATATGATACACAGTATTAAGTAATATAAAAATAGCACTAGATGAAAAAATTTACTCGTACAACATTTCCAATCTTCATTAGTACTTTCTTATCAAAACGTCTATTCTAGTCGTCTTTTACTAAATAAAGTAAAAATCCTTTGTTTAAAAAAAAATTTAAAAGTCTTTCTTCCTGTTAAATCATTTTCCTTTAAGATGCTTTGTTTGTTGAAACTATTTTTCTCATTTTTTATTTTGTGACTGTTAAAAGTAACTCTACTCGCTTTTAGTACACTAAACCTATATAATTATTTCACGATATTAATATTAACCAAGAAGTGTGGTGTACAAAAACAGTAAACGTCACGGTATTCCTATGTATCACAGTAATTCGTTGTTTTTCACAATTGTGTTTTTAAAATAATTCAATATCTAGATCCGTTCCGTATGACTACCTAATATGGTCATATTTGAACTCAAGTATGATCGTATTAATTCCTATTTTAAATGAACGTGAAAAATTATGCATGTAATCTAGAGCATACAAAAATGCTGATCGCAAATTTAAAAAGTTGAGAAAAACAAAAGCCAAACATTCGTTCAAGCATGCAAATCGAAGGAACTGAATAGTAATGATGGAGAAATAGAAGTGTCATGTAACTTTGGAAATCATGTGAAAAATGCATTAAGTTTTACTTACTTGCTGTAAACATTTCAGAGGAATCTGCTCTGTCTGAAAATTTTGAACAATTTTGAAGAACTGGCTGCCCTGATTAACATATAAAAAAATAAAACACGTTTTTTTTGTCAAAACCAGGCAGAAACTATAACTCAATAATTTATTGTATACACACATAGAGAAGAAGAAAACACACAAAGATCAAACCACAAAAGTATAAGACATTCAGGCTGATAATAATATTTTACATGAGCTTTAACCTATGTCGTATAGTACGTCTTCGGTGTGCCACTGGGGGGCATTTACCTTGGAAAATCGAATAAATCTTCAAATCACAGTTTATTTTTGTTCAAAAATGTAATAAAATTCGTCTTTTCTATACCACTTACTTGTTATTTCGTTTCGTTCTTCAGATTCCAAGTTATTTTAGAATCCTTTGCATGTTAAATAATAGGGTATGTCTGCAGATTTACAACGCTAGAAACCGGGTTTCAATACCCGTGTTGCGCAGAACACAGATAGCCCATTGTGTAGCTTTTTGCTTAACTTCAAAACACAAGCAAACCACGGTAAATAATTCATACTTAAAGCCCAAACTTGAATAACTCTATTGTTCATCTATTACATGAGAATTTTTTGTTGGTATTTGCACCTTAAGTTTTCGCTGAACTTTGAATTAAAAATATATTATTTCCTCATCCGCAGGTTATGCTCTCCGCTACAACTTCAGAAAATGGAATCTACTTTACTGCATCCGGGTTCTTTACGATAAACCGTGCTTTGATGACAACAGTACGTATGCTTAAAGCAAAGTTAAAAGATATATATATATAATTTTAGTAAGAAAGTAAGAAAAAATTGCCTTTACTCTCTAAATAATAATAATAAATAAATAAAAAATATTTTTATTATTATCTGGAGACTAAAGGTGTTTTGATTTATCTCTATTACCAAAATGTTTAGCTTTTTCCAGTATGCACTACAAATTCAGAAAAACATCAGACTATCAAATACATTTATCATATTACATGAGTGGAAAAAAACGTTTAAAGTAATTCTATACCGACATATGTTATTACATTGTCATGGTATATCCTGTTCAATTAATTTTCAACAGCGTAACTTTCACAGTTCTGTTCAGGCACGTTATGCCACTGTATAAAAAGAGTAAATAACTGAAGAAAAACGTTGTTTTTGGAGCAACGAAAGAGTTTCCTTTATTTGCTGTTCCAACTTGAAACAGATAATAAAGGGCTTATGTTTCATTGTGTCGTTTTTGTTTTTCTCTTTTAATATAAGCGTAATGTTCTACATTGCATTATATTATCCAAACTGTATCATTACATTTCTCCTGAAACGTCTTTTTTATGTTTAATATATCATAGTAAAATATAATGTAATGAATCCATTTAGATCAAAACAAAAAATATCTGAATATATTTAGCTGATATTCTGAAGGATAGATGGGCGGAGGAGTATATAGATAAACGTCAGTAAGTTTGGAATCTCAAGATAATCGGCACTGAAAAAAATTATCTTCTACTTTCAAAACAATTCAAGTTTCATCCTGCTATAGCTAAAGACAAAACTAATTAAAACTTATTATTTTGCCTACCTGGTATCGTATTGTTGTGACCTAAAATTATATATTGTATTGTTAATATTATTAATATATTAGACAACCCGTAACCCGTTGGGTCAACCACTATTCAGAGGTTATGAAGAATTCAAGCTAATTTCAATCTCGCACTGAAATGAAGGTTTATTTTGAGATAATTTAATTAAATATTTCAATCCATTCATGTTA